ATATCCACTGAGCCTTTTCCATTGATATGGGATATATGACATCTAGTGGCGAGATTTAAGATGACGACTACCTTTCCAGTGTCTCACATCCAGAGCACCAGGAGTAGGTCCTAAATACTCCATGCATAATTTCCTTATGCATCCGGTTAGTGCAATCTACACCCAGTCTCATTACCACAAGAGTCACGAAAATTCTTCTTTATCATCTTTTGATACATCACAGATGTCATGTTTATCCTGCATGAACTTTACATTTTGTTCTTAATTCATATTCATGTTTTAGATTTGATTTTCATTTTGACAATCAGCGCTGCATATTATTATTGTCTGCTTATAATTTTGAAGTTCCAGAGGTTTACTTCCTATGCCAGCGGCTAGCCCCCTTTCTTTCTTTTTATTGACAGCTAGAGCTTGTTTTTATTTCCTTTTACAGTGTTTTGACAACAGTTCACACCTTTAGCTATGTAAATTGAAGAATTAACACTTATGAAGCCTTCCTGACACCAGAGATGGGATTAGTAACTACACCTGGGTGGTTCCACAATTTTCATACCTCCTATTCTGACCTTAAACAATAGCATCTACCTTTCCATAGCAAATGGATCAAGCTGTTGGCGCTATCTGGATATAAATGCTGGGATCATTTTCTTGATACACATCAGTACTGAAGAAGTGGTTTGGACAAGTTAAGAAATGTCTTTACAGAACAAATCCAATTGATTGTGACCAATTACTACTAGATCCCCTTTCAGTTACTGTCCAATAGACACTAAACATTAGGTCATGGTTACCATCATATTTAAATATGTGGGGATTGTTGTTCAGCTACCCTTATCTAGATATGTTGAAAATAATTTACTCCCATGCATCACTTCCTTTAAGCCTAGGTTCACACTAATGCAGTGTGAATTTGATCCTATTTTCAATGCGATTTGTAGTGAAGCTGCAGTTCGAGTTTGATACATTTTTAATGCAAGCTGCGCACATTGCTGCTGTCAGCCAGCAGGGATGTCATTGGTTGTTAAAGAGCCATTATCCCCTGTGTCCTAACAACCAATGACTCAGTCAGTTATTGAACAGCCAACACCAGCCAGCTTCCTAACAATGATGAGTCATCCCTACTGTCAGCAGGGATTCCTCGCTGACAGCAGAATTTAAACAAAAGAGCCGGCATAAACAAAAAAAAAAAAAATAGAATGAGGGTCCCCCACTAATATACCAGGCCAGGAAAAGGAGCGTGAGTGAGCCCTCCTGAACCATACCAGGAAACTTGCCCTCAACATGGGGTGGGGCACAAAGCACCCCCACAACCACCAAGCCAGAGTTTTGGGGAAGAGACCCTTGTCCTCATCACCTGCTCCTCCCCTCTCTCGTGGCCTGCCAGGCTGCATACTCTGATAGGGGTCTGGTATGAATGGGTGGGGGGGGGGGGGGGGGGGGGAATACCATTTTTTGGTGTAGGGTTCCCTTTAAAATCCAATCCAATGTTCGAATATTACTACCATTCTGCCTGATTTATATTCACTGGTGGCGCTTTCCACATTTGAATAACGCAGCAGTGCAAAACTGCAACAGAGGCTGCAATTGTCTTCTTTTATGTAACGTTATCAAATTTGATCTAAAGACAGATGTTCCCAATGGTAGAACTAGTACTTTGAAAGTCTCATTGAGGATCTATGACCAGTACATGTCTTTCTCACCTAATCAACCCATTTGGTTTATTCCTATATTGCCACATTCTATTCTTTGCACACTGCACAGCAATGGGCACAAAAAGGTTAGAAATATGTTCATCAGTTTTATACACAGGCTCCTTCAAATCCTTTACAATGCTGACACAAGAGTTGGGCATCACGGACGCATGGCATTTGAAGTAGTTTCAAATGAGACATGCAGTTGAATCTACAAAGCAAATGGCTGACTCATATCTCTGATATCTCAGAGGAAAATTGGAGTGAATTTTTTCATTCTTGTTTTGATACTACAAGATCAGCCAGAGATAAACTCATCCAACTGAGATTCTTCCACTAAATACATTATATGTCCTTGCAATTTTCTTCATAAAAAGGACATGCCTAGTTGTCATAAATGCCAAAAAGAAAAAAGCGACTTTCTGCACATTATTTGGAGTTGCAGTAGAATTAGACTTTTCCAGCCTAAAATTACTGCCTTTATTTCCTCCTATTTTACCTCCCCAATATTTGAAACCCTAAGTGGTGCATATTGAGGATTGTTTAAGATTTAGACATTAATGCCACACAGAAGCAATTTTTAAAACTTATTTTATGCTGGGAAACTGGTTGTATTCCAATGGATGCATACTGACCCTATGAATATTCATTTCTGGGAAAACCGAATTAATCAATCTTTACCACTTTATAAATTGACATATGAAGCCAGAGGCTGTGGCTAAACCTCACTGACACTGGTGACAAGCCAAGGTAAATCCGTGGTTTTCTGTAGCTGTTGTGTCTGAATGTACCCTTGTCTGCTTTTTACTTTGTTGGAGTAATAAGAGCACACAATATATTTCACTTTTTAAAAAAAATTTTTATAACTTGTTACACTCGTTTGTGTTTTTCTCTCTTTTGTTCACGGTTTTACCTATTATTATAACCTACAGGTAGTTCTTTTCTGCATTATTGGTTAATGATCCATTGGTTGCTCTGTACATTGATGTACCATTTCTATTATCCACCTATGGCATTTCTGAGCCAGTGTGTTTAAATGGATATTGTACTGTAACTAGACCAATATTGAATTGCAATAAAAGCATGTATATATATATATAAAAAAAACCAATATACTGTTTATTCTGAGGGTAAGTTCTTTCATATGCTTTACTTAGAAACCTTGGTCAAGAATATCTAAAATAACACCAGATATATCCTTTTCCAGCTTTTTCGATTAGCCAGCCTGGCCTCAAAGCCAATAGTTACCCGGGGTGTCTCAGTGAAAAGAATTGTGTTCCTGGTGGACAGGGCAGAATCTGTGTGGCTGGAAACTCTGTATCTTATAAGCGAAAACTTGAGAAAAGGGGGACTCTCCAACTGGAATGAATTTTTTTAATACTTTTCTATATTCTCATACATGCTTTCTTCTTTTATCTAAGATATGTATCAAACACAGTAAAGAAATGTTTTTTTTTTTTTATTTAGACATGCTTAAAACAATTATGGATAAACATTTCAATTAATAATCTTTAAAAACAGTTTAATTTAGAGAACATTTATCAGTGCAGGAAAAAAGTACATACAGAAGAGATGAACAGATAGCTTGTTTTATGTACATTATGTTAGAACACCTAGCCAAAACAGGCAACAGAACAGTAAGGTTACAACTTAAAAGGCAATTTGAATCTCTTGCTGGTGAGAGATTTAAAGCTGAACTCTAGGAATTATCTTTTAAACTTACATTGGTCCAGATTGGTTACATCTAAATTTTTATATTAGAGCGACGCTGTGGATGCAGAAATGCATTGTAGTAGCCAGTGCTACGTATAGTCAGCGCTGGTCTCTTCTGGGTGCTGCTCAAATGACTTGCCATAAGTATACTAAACAGAGGTGGTTGCTTGCTCAACACCTATGACATTCACAGAACGTCATGTATTTTTATTCACTCAATACAAGCCATTCTCTGATTGGGCAAGGCAGAGAGGATGACAACACGATCCTCACCTTGATCAACAAGAGATCGCCTTGTATTCATTAAAAGATAAAAATGTGTTCGCTGAAGAATGGAGGTGACAGATAGGTAACCCCCTTTGTTCTGTATATAGATGGCAAATCGCTTGAGCGGGAAGCTCTGGTTTAAAAAAAAAAAAAAATCCATTCATCTATGTATTCTTAACTCAAAAACATACATCCTATTGCGCTCAGCTTCCTCCAAATCCCATTTTTACTGTTGTAATCCAACTTCCTTTTAAAAAGTGTGATTTTGTTCATTCTATATGTTATACTGTATGTACTGTAGGAATGTAGCCACCCTCTCTTGCTGACTCTGGACTATGGAATTTGTAATGTGCATAGAGCAGACCACAACTAACATGCGCCGTTAGTTTCAAAGTGAGGAGGGAAAAGGAGAGTGGTTACATGGAGGCATGAACACAAACAATTTCATGAAAAATAAATTACAGGACCATTTAGTAGTGGATGTTGTTGGATGATTTTTGGAAAATAAGCATATCATTTAACATCATTTACTTTAGGTATCCTAAGGTGTGATTATAAATACTGGGGTATCTTCTTGACACTCTAGGAACTTGGTAAACTACATAACATCTTCAGCATTACAGAACAAGTCCAGCTGAATGTGACTACTAGCCACTACAGTGATTTTCCACATCCCAGTGGCCCTCTGGATGTGAGACAAAGAATGATGAGTAACCAAGCTGGACCAATGTAAGTTTAAAAAAAGGTTCATTCCTGGAGTTCAGCTTTAATGGGCAGTTACTTTATTTGGCTAGAGCTACAAAAAGATTTTAGGTGGCTCATTCCTGATACTAAAAACACTAGAGATGAATCACTAGACAGAAGGAACTAATGGCTTGCTATGGAGTAGGATGCACAAGTAGTATATACAGTATTAGCAATTAATCTGTCAAGAACAATGGTCTAATCATGTACAATTGCCCAGTACAAGATGTTATAGGACACTACATGTGTAACTTACATCATTGGGAGTCATTTGTTCCCTTTTTTAGCAATAATTTTCTACCCCTAGGTTACTTATATAGTAGTAGAATTACAGAGTTACCAAAAATCTCCTGTATAGCTTCAGCAGGTTGCTGCCTAATAAACCTTTTAGCAGCAAAGCACGTAACACATATGTGTGGTGGCAGAATGCGTGGGCCTTGATGCCCAAACGCCACCCATGTCCATGGGGACCGAAGTTTCTGTGTTCTGAATTCAGACCCGCCTCCTGGAAAGAGACAGGAAGGGGTTAAAACTGCCCATGTAGCTTCGCCTGAATGATATAAAAAAAAAAAAAAAAAAACTTTAACCAGATAAGGACCTAGAATACACTATATTGCCAAAAGTATTGGGACAGCCCTCCAAATCATTGGATTCAGGTGTTCCAATCACCTCCCTGGCCACAGGTGTATGAAATCAAGCCTCATAGGCATGCAGACTGCTACTACAAACATTTGTGAAAGAATGGGTCACTCTCAGGAGCTTAGTGAATTCAAGCGTGGTACCGTGATAGGTTGCCACCTGTGCAATAAGTCCATTCATGAAATTTCCTTGCTACTAAATATTCCACGGTCAACTGTTAGTGGTATTATAACAAAGTGGAAGCAACTGGGAACAACAGCAACTCAGCCATGAAGTGGTAGGCCGCATAAAATGACAGAGTGGAGGTAGATTGTGTATTCAGGATTGATTTCCTGTCTTTGGGGTATGCCTAGGGACCATTGCTATGCCCTGATTTGAGCTGGGACGATGTCTAATATTCTTACATAATGCATATCTTTAATGGTTGTTGTAAAATTGGAACCTGTAGATTTTAAGCTATTTACGCCAGTTTACGTTAATTTCTCCTTGTAATTATAATTTTTTACTATATGTTAATAAAACCTACTAAAACTAAAATGACAGAGCAGGGTGAGCACATGCGGAAGCACACAGTGCGCAGAAATTGCCAACTGTCTGCAGAGTCAATAGCTAAAAGACCTCCAAATTTTGTGTGGCCTTCAGATTAGCACAACAGTGCGTAGAGAGCTTCATGGAATGGGTTTCCATGGCCGAGCAGCTGCATCCAGCCTTACATCACCAAGTGAAATGCAAAGCGTCGGATGCAGTGGTGTAAAGCACGCCACCACTGCACTCTACAGCAGCGGAGACGTGTTCCCTGGAGTGATGAATCACGCTTCTCTGGCAATCTGATGAATGTGTCTGGGTTTTGCGGTTGCCAGAACAGTAATTGCCTGACTGCTTTGTGCCAAGTGTAAAGTTTTGGTGTTGGGGGGGATTATGGTGTTGGGGTTGTTTTTAAGGGGTTGGATTTGGCCCCTTATTTCCAGTGAAGGGAACACTTAAGACATGAGCATACCAAGACATATTGGACAATTTCATGCTCCCAACTTTGTGGGAACAGTTTTGGGATGGCCACTTCCTGTTCCAACATGATTAAGCACCAGTGTACAAACCAAGGTCCATAAAGACATGGATAAGCGCGTTTGGGGTGGCACTTGGAATTGGATTTGGGGTTTGGAACTTGACTGGCCTGCATAGATTCCTGACCTATACCTGATAGAACACCTTAAATTACAGCAGAGTGCGCGAGCCAGGCCTTCTCTTCCAACATCAGTGCCTGACCTGACAAATGCGCTTCTGGAAGAATGGTCAAACATTCCCATAGAGACACTCCTAAACCTTGTGGACAGCCTTCCCAGAAGAGTTGAAGCTGTTATAGCTGCAAAGGGTTGGCCAACTCAATATTGAACCCTACGGACTAAGACTGGGATGCCATTAATGTTCATGTGTGTGTAAAGGCAGGTGGCCCAATACTTTTGGCAATATATTGTACATCTCATATGACCTCATACATACTGGAGTTATTCCCTGCTGCAGTAGACCTACTCCCACAGGTACAGCTGCTGATCAATCTATCAGAGCAATCTTCAGAACCTTTTCAAGCACTGATCACTGAATGATATAACACGTTACAGAGTCTGTATTTGTTAAAATAACAATAAAAATAGATACATTTTAGGGGATTCACAAAGACTGATGTATGCCAAAAAACACAATCTGGAGAATTGACTAAGTTGGAATGGTGCAAGAAACCAGCATTTGTGCTGTGAGCCCCATTAACTAATGCAAGCTATAGATGATGCAACTTTCTTTCCTGCAGCTACGTGTTGCAGGGAAAAAAACAACTGCCGCTAGCAATAATCTCATGTAAAAATCCAACATGCTGGTTTTACCCAAGTTGTACAATAATCAACTTGAGTACAATCAGCCTGACCCGAGATGGTTTGAATCTTGACTGTTCCCTGCTGAGATTTGAACCATCTATGGCCAGCTGCAGCCCCTCATTGGTGTATGCTGACAGTGTTGGTTCCCACTGTCTGAATACAATTGCCTAGCAAGGTAGGGGGAAATACCTGCATCTGTCTCATTTGTGGATGGAGGAACCTTTTTTTTTTTCCCCCAGACAGCTGGTTAAATGAAAAAAAAAAATATATATATATATATATTTATTTAGAGCACCTTAAGTATTACCTATTTAGCCCCTGATTAACCCCTATTATCACTAAGTCCTAAGCACTATGGTTCTAATTAACACCATCTCCTTGTCTAGTTTTTGGCTAAAAACATTTCTAATATTTTGGGGTGGGGTTCTTTTTTGTAATTGTAAGGACCTATTGACATCTTCATATAGCAGCAGTGTGTAAGCCCTCAAATAACACATTTCCCATCCATATGTGGCTTGTTCATCAACTGTATCTATGGGGCATCCATGGTTGTCACCCAGGCTGGACTTCAGACATGTCTACGTTTGTTCATCTTTATTAAATGGGGCTGATGGGATTCAAAATTTACAGAAAAAAAAGACATGTTTTACTTTCTTTGTAGCTCACAGTAAATGTCAATAACACTGTATTTCTGGCAAAATCAACAGGTATTTCCTGAACATGTTGAAAATGTACTTAGCCGAGAAAAAAAAAAAAAAAAGAAGAATGCAGTCACCACATCTAATAACTGGTAAACTGTAATATATTACATTTTTTGTTCTTGGGTTTGGTTATCCGTTACGTTTTCAGGAATTGTTTGTGGTTGTTCTGTTCACTTTTGCTTTTTTTTTTGCAATCTTTTTCCCATTAAGAAAATCCCACAACAGTAACAAAAAACATAAGAAGGGTGATTCCAGTCACACAGCTGGTATTTTACAATTATAATTTATAGCTGTACAACAGAAAAAAATACCTAAATAATTAACATTTTATCAAATGTATAAAAAATATGTACTTTCATTTATTTCAAGTTCTCCTGTATTTTAAGTCCATGTCAAATATAACAGAGTGAAACTGCACTTTGGGTTGAACAGAAGAAAAAACATTGATCATGTCAGTCCGAGTAAATCTATATAGTTCAAGTATTTCTCTGCATTATTTTGTAGAACACCTTCATAGTCCGTATATTTCCAGTCATACAGAGATCCTCAACATCTCAGTAATCATCTGAATCCTGAAATGAAGAACAAATATGTTAGTGTATGGATTAACAGAGCACAAGGCAGGACATATATATAAACCTTAGTTCTGTAAAGGATAACAAAGGTGATATTCACATTCCTATGCATTTTTACTGGTTTAACAAAAAAGTTTTTCAGTTCATCAAATAATTTATCTCATCAATCAGATTAATCTATAACATGCAGGTTAAAGGTCAAGTATCCATTGGTGTGGGGGGAGGAGCCCAAACATGGCGGCTGAGGAGAGCGTGAGGCACTAGCATTTTGCTAGGCTCCGCTTCCCGTCCTCCCCAGGGACCCTCTGGAGCAACCATATGAAGGGGCAGACTCACCGGAGTTTGGCAGGCCATGGAGGAGAGGCTGGAGAGCAGGGGATGTGAGCGGGACGTAAAGTGGAGAGAGAGGTTGATCCCCTCGGGGCTGCATGAGACAGGAACATGGGCAGCTGGGAGACTAGGTGATGTGGCGGGAACACGTGACTAGCCGCGGAGGATCTCTGGGAGGAGGAGAGACCAGCCGGCGTCCCGAGGAGAGAGGGAGGTGCCGGTTTACTCCTGGCCTCGTCCCCCGGCGTGCAGACTGGCCCTGGACCCAGGAAACTCAGGAGACCCAGCCTGTTGCCTGGGGATGGCCCCCAAGTGATTGAAAAGCCCAAAGAGACCCGGAGGAATCCCCCTAGGACTAAGCCCTGAGAAAAGCCCTCTACCCGAGGACCGGAGCCTCTGCCAAGAAAAGGAGAAAAGAGAAGGGTGAGTGAGAGCGGCTGGGGCTTTCTGTGTATTGGAATCTTCTGTGTATTATAATCTTCTGTGACAGAGAGGAGTAAAAAGGTAAAGGAGAGAGGAGGGGGGGATTCCCAAGGGTTAAGAAGAGGTGGAGAAGAGAAGAGGATTAAGGAGACCCAGAAAAGTAAAGTAAAAGGAAAAATAGCAAGGCAAGGTTGGGTTAACAAGCTATAGACATTTGGCATACACCTGCCTAGAGATCATAGAAGAAAATAAGACCCATAGAGGACATGAAGAATAAAGGAGTTAAAGGAGCAGGGCTCAAAGGGTCCCAAACAGGTACGATCAAGAAATATACTTCTCAAGGAAATATTACTCCAGAAAGGCCCCAAGGCGCTAGTGAAAAAGGTGAAATGGAAACCAGTCTGGGAAATAGCCCAAGATTATCACTGGGCATGAATAGCAGCTGTAATCAACAAATGGTGGAAAGTCTGGAGAAAAAAGAATCTGATGGTGAACTACAAGTACCAAATAAGAAAGAGATGATAGAAATGTTTCAAAGTTTGGAGAAAATGATAAAGCAAGAAATGGCAACTATTCGGAATGATTTGGGGCATCTGTTATTGAGAGTGGAGGAAACGGAGGAGAAAGTTAAGAATAAGGCCCCAAACCATAGTTAAACTAGAAAGGAAGATAACAAACATGGGCTTTATTCAGAAAAAACTGCTTTATAGGATGGAGGTACAAGAGAACAAGGAAAGAAGGAGTAATCTCAGGGCACGAGGAATTCCAGAGTCTGTAAAAGGGGAATCATTGTATGAATTAGTTAGTAAAATTTTAAACTCCATAATGGACAGAGCAGAATCAGAAGTGACTAAACTGGATGGAGTGTTCAGAATAGGAAAGTTCAAACAGATCACGGGGAAGGAGAGACCAAGAGATACAGTTGTTCAGTTTCAAAAATTGGGGACAAAGAGATGAGATTTGGAGGAAGATTAACGGAAGATCAATAATTAAATATAGAGATATAGACATCCAAATGTATGCGGACTTAACACCAGAGACCCTATGGAAAAGAAGATCCCTGAGACCTTTATTGGAGCAAATGAGAAAGCACAATGTGCAGTATAGATGGGGAACCCCAGAATGCCTAATTGGATGGAGAAACGGAGTCACAGCCTACCTGAGATTTCCGGAGGAACTGAGAGATTTTTGTGATAGACTGGACTTGCAAAGAATGGAGATAGAAGAATGGGAAGAAGAAAAAGGAGAAACAGAAGAGGACTGGCAGTGGGTCGGGGGAGGATGGGGGGGGGGGGGGGGCTTGGGGTGAGGGAGAGAGTGAGGGGAGAATTAGGGATTTTTTTTTTCCCCTCTCTCTCTTTCCATTCGCCCCCCTTCTGATAATATGGTATCACCTCCGGAGGTTTTTTTTTTTTTTTGGTTGGTGGGGGTAATGGAAATGTTTTGAGTCAATTTGTTAGAGAGAGGGAAACTGGGGAGGATGGAGGAGAGGTGAGCCGTTCATTATGGGCGAAGGTCAACCCCAAAGTCTTAAATCAAAGGTGGGATTGGACCCACAAATGATTAGTAGGCATTCTACAAGCCTAAAAAGGGGTAGGGGGAAAAAGGAGGGGGGAGGGGGGGGAGGGGAGAGGTTCTAGGGTCAATACTTTGCATGAAAGAAGGAGGTTTAAAAGCAAGGACAGAGGAGGAAGAAGAGAAGTGGAGGAGAGGTAGAGAGATTTAAGAAGAAGGATGGAAGAAATACAGTTTATAACGTATAATGTAAACGGATGGAATAGCCCGGGGAAAAGATTTAGATTATTTAAAGAGTTACATCGTAGATCATCTTCAGTGGTATTCTTGCAGGAGACAC